TCTGACGCCTGAGGAGGCAGGTTAGTTTGATCGTTCGTTATCGGCTCTGCTGAGCCTAAACGGAAGAATGAACTTGATCAAAACTTGTTTTTCCGGGCAGCTCAGCAAATGCTGGGTAGAGCCAGGTTTGGATGCCCGTTCGTTCCTTTTTTCCATTTGTATTAACTTCTGTCACTTATCTATCTGCACTTCGCTTATTGCCTTCGCACTTTCTTTGATTTACCTGTCATTTTCGCGCCTAGGTGGGCTGGAGAAGTTTTGCGGAAATTCGATGACATGCACCGCTAGTAGGTCTCCTGCTGGCACCCTGTCCTTGGTGTTCAAATCTTTTCTTTTCCTTTTGTTTCAAAATTTTAGCCGTTCTCATCGTTCGTTTTTCTCCTGCCTCATACAGTTGCACTACAGCTGCACTTCTCATCCTTTGTTTCAAACCCCAAACTTACGCAAAGCTCGTCCCGTTTTTCCTGGTGCGAACCATGCATTTTGCGGCCGTTTTTGCCAATGTTTTCAAATTCGCAACGCTGATGCACCATGCACTTGACCACGGTCCTTTTGTTTTCTTGTCCGCCTCTGAGAAACAAGCCGGCATCGCTTTTTGCGAGAAGAACGTTTAACCATGCACTTTGAGTACGTACTTTTCTTTCATGACGTTCAAATTCTCGAAAGTCTAAGTTCAGAAATTTGCCCCGGGGCCTGATGGCCTTTAACAAGAATATGTTTATTAGCCTGCAATGGAGCAGTGGCCATCTAGCGGCAGCTATTTTTTGTCTAGTGAGGAGTGGTTAAAAAAGTTTTGCTGCCAACGATAGCATAGCTTTCACTTGCGATCTTGCACTTAGGGGATTGCTCATCACTCGACAGTTTCGTCTGTTACTGCTACCGTGTATTCTCTATACTGCTCATCATCATGCCGACAACGCGAAGCCAAAGACAATCCGCTGCGGCTACCGCGTCGGTGTCGGGATCGGCATCTCCGCCATCCCTTCCCGGGGCTGTTGCCCTTTTCAAGAGAATGTCATCGGTAGAGAGCCGTTGTTGGAATTAGAGTCCGGAGCTGATGCTCCTTCTCGTGAGCTTTCTGGTGGTGCTAGGACGCCGACCGCTTCCTTGGATGTTTCACTTGACGTCGTCGGGTTTACAAGGCTGTCATGTAACTTTTAGATAGATTAGAATGTGCTCTTAATACTGAGTTGGGGCAGTCGATTTGATTTTAGCAAAGTGTGATTAATGCTGTCTGAAATGTGGAGTGAAGTGTCTCTTTTTTTTGGCCACCCCTGTATAGGTGTGGGACGAGGACACCGATGGTAAGCGGTATGAACTGATAACAAATGATAAGGAACGATAAGGAGCGTCTGAATGCAAATGTCCCAACTTCGTTGCAGTATCACTGGCAAACGATCAAGGGAGCGAGGTGTTGATGGTGGGTGACAGGAGTGGTAATGAGCGTCAACTATACTGATAAAACGTGGCGACAACTGAGTGTGCGCTCATTCAAATTGAACCAGGTTCTTAGCACGTGAATATGTTCAATTCCTAACCTTTCACCCAAAAAAGCAAAGGAACTTGAGCCACTCAACTCTCTGGACTGACCAATAGCGAATTTCCATCAGAGCTAGGCTAGATGCTGATTGATTGGTCATATTTCACTCCCACACCGATACCCTAATTGTGAAAATTCTATAGACCGCTAAATCATCCGAGCTCGATATCAATGCTAAATGTTTACGAAGTCATGATAAGTACCAGCTTCATTCCGCATGCTACTGCGCGCACTACGCGATAATCTTCAGCGAAATTGGACAACCTTTGAATTCATGTGACACATCTTCCAAACATCTTACTATTAGTTTCTCAGCCACGTGACCTAATATTTGCAAGTTGTCCAGTTTCACTGAAGCCCACATGTGATGCGCGCGGTTGCGTGCGGAGCTAAACTGGTATGATATACCCGACAAACTTTGCAATACCGCATCTACTGTGGGGAGAGGGTACGAGTCCAAGTAGGTAGTTGATTCTTTTGTTCAACTCACGATAATCCGCACACAATCTCAAGCTACCGTCCTTTTTCTCAACTAGCACAATGGGAAAAGCCCACTCAGAGCTGCTTCTTTCTATCACCTCCTATCCTCCAAATCTTTTAGGAGCTCTTTCAATTTCTCGCGCATACCTAGTGGGACAGGCCTTGCCTTCATTTTGATGAGTTTGCTGTCTCCCGTTTCGATATTCATTTCAACCACATAACATAACCACATCTGATGATAGTAAAGATTTGAAAAGTGGTGCGCAAGAAAGTTATAAGGAGAAACAAGGCACACTCGTGGATACAAGCCTGCTGGACCTGATAATCGAGCTTTTACACTTATTGCGAAGAATCTACAACAACCTGAAAGTCGTACAGAAACTAAGAACACACTGGACCCAGTTGAAGAAAAGCGCGATTCCGACGTTGCGAATCGAAAGAGTAAAATCATAGTGTCGGCAAACGCAACGTGCGCTCAGTGATAGCCGCAAAGTGAAGGCTGAAACCGGATCAAAACAGGCCGCTGAAAGCACCAGCAATGAGAAATTGAGGTTCGATATGACGACGTGCCAAGGAGCGGACGACTACACAAACCCAGCTGATGTGGCAGAAAAGGAGTGCCGGTCCAAAATACACAGGCTGATGTTCAGGACATTGAATCTCCTGGCAGTGCTGCAAAAGTGGAATCCGACGATAAGGTGGACACAATGGCCCGGCCCGACACAAGAATCAAAAACGTTGCTTGAAATACTTTGAGAATGGAAAAATTCTACTTCAAACAAGCACACCTTCAATCAGTTCCTGTGAGTTTTCGGTCACATCAGAAAAAAAAGCATCAGAAAACTCGTCTAAGACCGATCAAATGTCTCCACTGAGCCTTTCCACTTTTGCTGTTTCTTGTATATGTTTATGGAGCAAACTCCTCCTTTCTTGGACACTCATTTCCGGGAATGTGCTATCCAGCATGAGTGGGATTCAATTCTTAACCCTCACGCCACTTTTCTGTTCCCCATTAGCCTATCTCGTCGCCCTCCTTACATATTGTAGGCTCATCACTATTGTTCATTATGGGCATGTCCACCTCCTGACCCTTTGATTCTATATAACCAGCCACTATACCATTCTTACACGGCTAAATGATGCGATCGTCCTTGCTGCTGTGCCCTTCACATCAAGCCGACACAATCGCTGCCGCCCTGGGGCGATGTAAGCCCTTTTAGCAACTATCACCTTCCCTTTAGTTACCTCGTTCTTCCGTTGACAACAGTAGCTGTCCACAAAATCATTCCGGTGAATTAGTACGTAAAAAACAAAACCTCTTACTTCTTTAAATCCAGTACATGGAGTGCTACCTCAGCCTTTTTTCTCCTTCTAGCGCCACAGCGATCTTCACTGCACCCATGGACTCAATGCGATTACCTGATGCGTCATAGACTGGGATCATTGCCGCATCATGTATTCCAAGCTATCAACGTCAAAGCCACCGGTTTGCGCCTGAGCTAATACCTTTATTGGTATGATGTCGGTCATGGACCCTGTGTCGAGAAGCGCCCTAACTCGGGTTGACAGCATCTTGGCCCATACTGACCAAATCTCATCTATCAGTAGTCCTTTACCAACCTCCTTGACTCGTATGCCTAGGCTCCGTGCTCTATGAATCATTTGCAACATGCTATCGGGACCCCTCTCATTTCCTTTGGCTTCGGTGCCTCCGCTATCTGGTTAACCCTTGGCTTCTTCAGCGGGCCATCTCGTCCAATGTGTCCTATTTTGGAACAGTTGCAACACTTACGCTTTTTCCTGCTCACCCTATTTGGAGGCCTACTTTCACTCGCTGCTGTTCTCAGCTCTCGTCCTTCGTGATGAATCGGTTCACCTCTGAAGTTGGGGCTCCTCGCTTCCATTTCTGGTTTGACTGGTTACCTACCAACTCGTTCAAATGCTTGATTTGGAAGTGCCTCGAATGTCAGTTGTTCCTAATTCTTCTCCCTGATATGCTACGAAACGCTTTCGCCAATCCTCTTTTTCCTTTGTGCCTGGTATTTGGCGTCCCAAACATCACGTTGACCCGCCTAATCAGACTTCGGGAAGGGCTGTACAAACCAACACACAAAGTTAGCGGTTTATATACTCGATATCTCGAAGTCAGATTAGGCGTGTCTATGGGTTTGACGTGGCGGCCGCCGCATTTGATGGAAGTTGCGCGGATAAGCATGCTCTGCTGATATCCAATGGAGTACGTTAGAAACAGCCTATCCTCACGGCTTTTATCAAGTGCGGCAAAGGCCACGTCAAATCCATAGCCACGCCTAATCTGACTTCGAGATTTCGACTGTACAATGGGAGGATAGTAGGGTTGCTTGAACTTCTTGGAGCGTCAGATATTGATAGCTACGAGATCAGATTGATAGTCCGCTCATTTTTGAGATCTTCATGTTGGAAGGTCTCAATTGACTTTGGGCTGCATACGCCGTGGTATTATTCTCCACGGATGAGCGCTCTACTGCTGTGGTCGAACGGAGCAGCTGCAGAGTCTGAGGTATAGTTTTTTCATTGTGCATAGATCCAAACTCTTTCTTGCACAGTGATCATCACTTTGTTTTGCTGCCTTTCGCTAACATTCTCGGCCGACGTGTGGCGATGTGACGGTTTCCACCAGCATGCCGTGACTTGGCTTAGCTCGGACTTTTTCACGCTTGGCGCTCCGTCCCCGCTTGAAATCTACCAGGAGGAAGGGAGTGGGCAGCGTTGCAGCGACAACATGCTTGAAGATGTGCCAAATATATAATCATACAAACTTTCAATTGCAAGGCCATACCTTAGAAAGCAGGCGCAGGAAAATCTTACTCGTTTCTCGGAAAGATCGTTTGAAGTCAACGCCAAGGTCTACCAGGATACATTTCTGCGAAAAGCCGATTGTGGCCGTTGTTTGAACCATGGTATAGAGCCCATCTCACGAGGGAGGCTGTTCGGAGCGTGGAGCGCTTTCTGAAAACGGTTTTTCGCATGGTATAGGGGCGTGGGCACTAAACACAGAGTTGTGATCCATTTCCGCTAAATGGCTCTGAATGCCAAAAGGACTGGAAATAATTTCGGCCAGTTAAACTGTAGTTTACCATGCAACAGTGTTTCATTCATGGCGTGGACTACTTGCATAATAGTGGAGGGTCTTCGTAAGTTGTGTATCAAAAACAAGGTGAAATTTGGTCAAAATTGGAAAGTTGTCGTAGTGATGTCATGTTGTGTACTGAAGAGCGTGTGGAAGTTTCATAAGAGCATTTGGCCAACCCCTAGCAGCGTCGGTGGTGTAGTGGTTAGCGATGTGGAATTACTATTCTCGCTACTTACCATCTCGTAGTTTTTCGAAGTTGGGTCAAAATCTTGATCTTGTATGGTTGGGAACTTGCGGGCATCACAGATGTTATTTCGGTAGCCGTGGATTAGGGAGGCGAGCATTATTTTCGAGTGGGTGCGGCGGAGTCAGGAATTTCGAGTACCTGTGACTTCTCTATTGATCTGTCCGCTTTTTGGGCGGGGTGTCAGAACTTCTCGTCAAGTCAGGGGCTGTTCTGGTGATAGCAGGCTTGTTAGTGGGTTTTTGTTAAGGCCAAGAGTCTAATTTATGGACATTCATATTATTGTGTGACCTCTGCCGGTGCAGATTTTGCTGGTCGGTCAAATCACAGTTGCAGAGATATTGTGTGTCGGGCCGCGTGCAATTCAAACGAGGGTACACTTTTCTCACTCCTCTTGTTGGAGGATGTCACAGGTCTGTAGTCGGATAATTGACATAGTTCTTACCTAGGCACATACCCCTATACTCTAGGCATCATAGAAAACCGTTTCGGGAAAGCATACTAACCTAATCTCAGGACTCGCAAACTATGAACAATTTTATCTTTCTACTGACAAGGGAAGGTCGTTCAGGGCGTACAGTACTCGCCGTTTGAAATCGAAAATTCACGCGAATAACGCGAATCCTCGTTAATTTCGTGAATTCGTTATAAGTCGGGTCAGAGTGAAGTATTCCAGAAACGGAAAACACCGTTGAACTCAGCTCTTCAAGCGCTACAAGATGGTGCTGTAATATTTTCAGAAAGCTTGATTTCGGAATGCGCCATGCACACGGGTTCTATCTCAAGAGCTAGAAGAACGTATACGCTGCGCGCTCAGTACTAATTATGGAGGCTAATTATTCGCATGGAGAAAACGTTCCACACCTGGTCTGGAGTGCGCCACACATCCGACCCCATCAAATGGATTGTGAAGTTAATTGAATGTATGCCAGGTTTCTATGTCATTTTCATGTACTGAGTAACTGAAAGTATTGTCGCTGCGCTGGATACAAGTGCTTAATGTATTTTGAACCAAATTTTAGTTGAGTTTTAAGCACACTTCATACCCTAATTTTGTAATTTCTCTCAAGTTTGGAGGGATATTTCGTCGAAGTACGAGGAGGCAGGAATGAAATCGCCCTATCATCTGGGACTACAGTAAGTACTCTGCAGGGATATCGTGTCCAAATCGAGCGTTTCTGCTATGGTGTTGTGTCAAATATCAATGCGCGGCGTACCCTGATAAAAAGACCAGCCTTTTTTCGCTTTCGAACTCAACGATATGGCTGGCGAAATTGCGGTTGTGTTCTTTAGAGCAAAGGCTATTCAGCGACATGTCAATCATGACGCAGTGAAAACATAGTTTCTCCCCGATTTTTGACCGTTTGTCCTACAGTGCTTAACATGCCGAGCCATTGACGGCTACCCGTACTTCGCGAGACTGCGCCAGCAGGGCCAATGAACTAACCTAGAACTGACATCGGTCGAGATTTGCCAGGGTTCGTTCCGAAGCTCATGTCAGAACGAAGGTAGAATGAGCCATGTGACCGGCATCTATCCGAAATTCGTGGAATCAATGCGCCATGCACTCGATTTTCATCTCAAAAAGTAGTTGCTCGCATGTGATGTGTATATAATCCCGCTTATGCGGGCTGACCGCTACACACAAAGAAGGGCCTCAAAACTTACCCCAGAATGCGCCACGTACTCAATCTCATCCACTACATTGTGATTAGATGAATGTTATTTTCCGAATTCTTAGATCTTCATTTCGTTTTTAAGCGCTTACTGGCTTTACGTGTTCCCTCTGCTCTCAATATCCCATCCTCTGTATATCAAGTGGAATCTTTGAACAGTTCTCAGCAGGCATAGTGGGCCTATTATGTGACATTTTCCATTTTCAGAGGAGATGTTTTGCAGAAAGCTGTGAAGATAGCGAACAATTTCCTTCACTGTCGTAGACTACGGTCACTTGTCTGTAAGGATTATATGGAAACCTTGGTCGCAGGTGAGCGTTTCTTCCGTGGTGTGACCCCAAACATCACACCTTGCCCCTATTACGTGACAAGTCCCATTTTTAGAGGAATGTTTTGTAGAAAGCTGTGAAGGAAGCGAAGAATTTCCTTCACTGTCGTAGACTATGGTCACTTGTCTGTAGGAATTATGTGGAAAACTCGGTCGCAAAGTAGCGTTCCTTCCGTGGTGTGGCCCCAAACATGCCTCCTCGTCATGCCCTTGTGGAATGTTCAGATTTTTTGCATTTCCAGATGAACTCGCAGACCTGAAATGTGCCCCGTTAGCTTCCCCGTGAAAAATGCTATCGAATGATATGCATTACTTCCCCAGTTGAAACTTTGGTTTTTCACCGTTTTCAGCCTTCCCCTATTGCCGGATTGGCACTATCCCACGATTACTGCCCCAAAATCTCAAAGTTTCATTTTTCGTCGAAACTTTGTCTATTGGGTATAATTTAACTTCAACTAATTAACATTCATTTATTCTTCTCTTTTTTTTTTTTTTTTTTTTTTCCCTTTTTTTTTTTTTTTTTTTTTTTTTTTTTTTTTTTTTTTTTTTTTTTTTTTTTTTTTTTTTTTTTTTTTTTTTTTTTTTTTTTTTTTTTTTTTTTTTTTT